AATTTGGAGATGTTATTTCATTTGGCACAACTTATCTCATTAACAAATATGATATGCCATTTGCTCCGTTTGTAGGAGTTAACCACCATAGGCAGTCAATTTTGCTTGGTTGTGGGTTGTTATCTAGTGAAGACACTAATACATTTGTTTGGTTATTCAAATCATGGTTAAATTGCATGGTAGATCATCCTCTAAAAGCTATAATAACTGATCAATGCAAAGCTATGCAAAATTCTATAGAAATTGTCTTCCCAAATACTCGACATCGATGGTGTTTATGGCATATAATGAAGAAAATTTTGAAGAAATTGAAAGGCTATTCCCAATATGAATCCATGAAGTTGGCTTTGCAAAATGCAGTGTATGACACTTTCACAAATGATGAATTTGAGATGAGATTGAAAGAGATGATTGCAAAATTTAATCTTTATGAGAATCAATAGTTGGGGGGATTATATGATGAACAACATCGATGTGTTCCTGTCTATGTGAAAGACAATTTTTGGCTTGACATGTCAACTATACAACGAAGTGAGAGCATGAATGCCTTTTTTTGATGGATATGTCAACCCAAAGACTATATTAAAGTAATTTGTTGAACAATATGAGAATGCCTTGAGAAATAAGGTAGAAAAAAAGAAGAAAGTTGACTTCAAGTCTCAACACAAAGTGTTTGATTACCAATGCAAAATTCAAAGAAATGCAGGCAAAGATGAAAAGACTAGTTTATTGTCAACCGTGTCATGTGAGAGAAGACGGTTTAATTTGCACATATTTTGTGAAGGAAGCTATGGTAGTTTTTGGGAAGATGAAGCATGTGGACTTTATTGTGCATTGTAATTCAACTAAATTCGATGTTCAATGTATGTGTCGGTTGTTTCAATTTAGGGGCATCATCTATGCCCACTCACTCGTTGTGCTCATTGCAAGATCCATAAATGAGGTTCCAAATAAATTCATTCTACTATGATGAAGAAAAGATTTGGATAAAGGGTACACGTGCATCAAAACCACATACACTAGCTTTGGGGATGATTTCAATGCAAAGGTCTATGATAAGATAAACAAAAAATTGATTGGCATTGTACAAGTAGCTGGGAACTCTGAAGGCAAAATCAGAATTATCGACCGTGGGTTGGATGAAATCAAAGCAAGAGTGATGAAAGATGTTGAGGGTGGTGGGAGTAATGTACCGGCTTCTACTAGTAATGTACCACCTATTACTAGTAATGTACCATCTTCCCTGATTGGGAGCATTAATAGAAAGCAATCAGTAATACGAAGTTGCTTAGTCTTTTGGTTGCTCGCCGAAAAGGTTGTCCAGTTACTAAATGAAAGGTCGCCAAACTAGATCAAATAGTCAATCGGTTGAAAGCAAGCAAAACAAAACATTAACAAATCAAAGGTAATATCATAGTGTTCTCTATTTATTTTTCAATACTGTATCATTTCTCTCTATTGAACTTATCATTTATCTATATTCATTCATCTTGATTAATATAGGATACTAAGGTGCTTGGAGCTCAAGCTCAATCTTAACCTCAACCTGCACGTAGAGAGCTTTATCCTTGTATGGTTGGCATACAAAATAGTATGTATGTGCCGGTACGTGTACATAATATGAATTTACATCGACCAGTTTATTTATTTATTTATTTTAGCAATGTATATTAAACTGTTTTTTCATGTCATTGTAATTGAATAAGAATAAATGGTAAATGCGATTGAAGGCACACCGGGAAATATGGACATCATGATAAGACAGTTTGATGACTGCTCAAACTCAGATTTATGGAGTCGATACATCTCTTATCTCATCGGAATGTATTGGAGGCACACCAGGAATTATTGACACGATGAGAACTTAACAATCCATGAGTGTTACGAATCAAATTTATGGAGCCGTACCGTCTTCTTTTGTTGACTTTAATCAACAAATGGACCGAAATGAGTCTCGTTTTCGTTAGTTGGAAACTTGTAATTTTAATGCATTTTATGTGACTTAACTTGGAGTTTATTTTGTGGTGGGAGTAATTTAATATAATTTAATGCATCTTTCTTTGTTACTTGATGCATTTTAATGCATTTGCTGTCTAACTGTATACAGATGTGGATGGATTGGTCTTTTTTGGGAATGTTTTATGTTGCAGGATCGGACTTGGAGCTAGCGTGGTATGTGTTGGTTTATTTTTGTTGTGCTTTTGATTTGGATGTGTGAAGGTGTTGTTAAAAATCTGTGCAAAATCTGATAAAAAACTGATTTCAAATCTATGTTAGTGCTGTTGAAAATCTATGTTGAAAAATCTGTGTTCCAAAATCTGTGTTGAAAAGCTATGTTTCAAAATCTGTGTTTCAAAATCTGTGTTGAAAAATTTGTGTTCAAAATATCTGTTTAGAAATCTGTGTTCAAAATCTGTGTTAACAATCTATTAAAACTCTTTGTTCAAAAATTTGTTCAATATTTGTGTTCAAAATTTGAAAGTTCCAATCAGAATCTATGTTGAAACAGACAAACAGATAAGTAATGTGTGTTCAAAATTTTCTGAGAATAGCTTTGAAAGAATATCTGTTTCATTGATCAGTGGATTTTTCATCTCATTCTTCATACTTGTAAATTATGCCAACTGACTCAAAAAACAAAACAAACAATCCACATGATTACATCTTCATACTTCTAAAAAATGACTGCAATATATCATAAATATTCATATATATTATCTATTTCAACCTCTAACTTGCATATAATTTATTACATCTTCATAACTAATACAACACTAATTACAAGGAAGATGAAGATCCCATAAATACAACACCAACTTTGGCATCTGCGCGCTCAGAAATCGAAGTTGTTCGCTTTGAAATCGAAGTTGTTCGCTCATACTTCAAAATTGTTCGATGACAGTTGGTATATTATTCATTTACTCTTGTTCTTCATCTTTACATTGTGAATTTGTAGGGAAGTACCATCCAATAAAACCACCGCAATCATGACAACAATAAAATAACTTGTTTTTGTTTCGCTCCGTCTTAGAAATTCGAATAGTTGTTTTTTTTCTGACATTTAGGACAATTTTTGTCGCAATATGTCAATTGATCTGAGGTACTGTCGTTAACACTTGAAGTTGACATCTACAAAAAATATGATGCCAAATTTTACTAATTTAGACAACCTAATCATCAATTTTTAAAAACCTATAACTATCCTAAGATCTTCAATTTTTAAGAACCTATAACTATCCTAAGATCCAAAGCATAGCTTGTAACATTTCAAAAGAACAAACATATCATGTGGGCTTCCTATCCATTTTTTTTGGTTCAACATTTCAAAGTTTATCAATGCCTGCAAATCTTCATCCCAAGATTCCCATTAATTTCATATGAAAAAATGTAAGAATTCATACAATTGGAGTAATCGAATGAAGAAAGAGAACTATGGGGATAACATAAATAATGAATATAGCTTTTTATTAATTTGATATACAAAAAATGTAAAGGTCAAAGACAATGATCAACCAAAACAATTACTCACATTATGAAACCAAATATACACTAAAGTAGGCAAAACTATGAACTACTTAGTGGAAAGAAAGAAAAAATAAATAAATAATAGTGAGAAAAGATCTTTAGATTCTCTGCTCATCATGTCGTTGCCCAAAACAATGCAAACCAAGCAAGAAGAAATTGTACAGCAATCCAATGCACTAAGAAAAGACCTTTAGATTCTCTACTCATCATGTCATCGCCTAAAACAATGCAAACCAAGCAACAAGAAACTGTATAGCAATCCAATGCACTAATAGAAAATAATCACCATTGAAGGATCGGACTTGCTTTTCTTTTTTTTCCTGTCTTCTTCCTCTTATTTTTATTTTTTATTTTTTTTATGAGGAATAGATTGCTTTCAAAATTCGTATGTCAAAGTGGTTTATTAACAATTCAAACAATTTAATTGGCAATTATGTAGCAGTATAACCAAAAAAAAAAAAAAAAGTCAAGTACAACTATGAAAATTGCTATTTGAGTAGTTTCAATACGATACTTAATTTAGTTTCAATACCATACTTAACAACAACAACAGATCATCAAATTTTTTTTCATTAAAAAACAAAAAAAACAAAAAAAAACCACTAATTCTAGAAACCAGTTCGTATGATAATTTAGAAATTAAACTAAAACATACATTCAAACCCTAAATCAATTTCTTTCTTATCATTATGTTATAAACACACACACACACACACACACATACAAGCCCTAACCCTAAATCAATTTGTGGTTGTATACCTCTAGGTTCGGAGATAGAGAGTCGATCGGGGTTAGAACTACTGGAATAGTAATATGGTTGGAGAGACAAAGAGTCGAGAGAAGGCGTTAGCTGTCGAGAAAAGACAGAGAGTTGCTGTCGAGAAAAAACAGAGAGTTAAGAGAAGCGACTCCTTTGGGACTACGAAACGAGTTCGACGACCGTCGTGAGTGAGGATAGAGGGAGGTTCGGTCAGATCCAAACTCAATCGTCGCCAGGGTTGGAGAGCTGTGCTCCTCAAGGAGCTCTAGGTCGAAAAGAGAGACACAATAGCGAATAGAGAGAGAAAGAGAGAGAAGGAAGGAAGGAAGGAGCGAATAGCTAAAAATGTAAAACTCTGAAAATGATTTTAAATTTTGAAATCAATGAGAAAGAGAGAAAAAAGGGTGAGTTAACAACAATCTTTACCCACATCGGCACCACATCATTAGAAGTTTTCAATTAGTGATCTGAAATATTTTGATTTAGAGAGGTACAATTATAATTATTATAAATATAATTTACACGTCACTAATTTCATTTTCAAAATAGATCTTCTGGGTATTTAGAAGAGACTTGAATAGGCCAAGGCTTTGTTAGGATTATTATTGTATCTTTCCCATATTTGTATCACACTGAAAAGCAATGCCGTATTTCATCATTTTCCATATCCTTCATATCCTCCATATCCTCATATCCTCCAAAAAAACAAAAATACTTAACACAAAAGAAAACAACATTTTGCACATTTTCAGAAACTTGCTACATCTATTTGTTTGTAATACATCAAATACAAGTTCCATTTATGGCAATACCCCCCAGGTCACATGATACATGCTTTCCTGTTCAAAAGGTCGGGTTAATTTAAATTCAAGAAACAAATCATCTACCTGATCCATCCCTTGAAAAACCCAGTATATATATATATAATCATTATATTGTGCTATTTCTGTTGAAATATAATTCACCAGTGACTATTAGCATTTTCAAGATTGGCTGCACTCAATCTCTTCTCCATCCAATCAATGATATCCTGTGCGACTTCCTCACGTTCAGGCTCAAAGAGAAGGTCATGCAAGAAGCCTTCGTAGAGCTTTATGTCCTTGAACTCAGAGGCTGCCTCCTCATACAAATCCTGCGAGGCTAGTGGATCAGTTACTTTATCTGCAGTTCCATGGAGGACGAAGAATGGGATCGTCACGGACTTGAAATTCCGCAGCAAATACGAGGAGATGCGCAGAATCTCGTGGCCAGTTCGGACCCTCATGGGTCCAGTGTAGACTAATGGATCCGAGTACTTGGCTAAGAGTGCAGCGGGGTCCCTCGAAACTGGAATGCCCCTTTTGTTGGCACCTTTGAACTGGTACCTTGGAACCACTAGTGAAAATAAAGGAGCCACGGCCTGCATAAAAGACACAGCACAACGTTTTTATAATGTCATAAGATAGAACCACATTCAATTTTGTTGTACTGTTTTTAAGCAATCAGAAGATTCACCAAACAGACTAGATTTTCTGATTGGAAACCAGAGAAAACCGAATGGAAGCATATTCACCAATGGTGTGAGCTAGCCTTGTTGTTTGGTTTTGAGGTTATATTTAGAGTACTTTAATGTCCAAACTTGGAGTGTGTTTAGCATATCAAAATAATTATTTAAGTGTCAAAGCATGCTTATATGTAGTTCATGAGAAAAAGAAAAAAACAAAAGCTTACACCAACTATTGGATGTGCTGGCTTGACACGCAAAGCTGGTGATGTCAGTATAATCCCTTCCAGCATTTGTTCAATGTGTGGATATGATGCTGCCTATATAAAGGAGCAGATCACCAATATAAAATGGTAACTGGAAATCAATTGAACTTACAGTATGTAAATTTGTTGAAATGCTTTACCTTCAAAACAATAGCCCCTCCAGTTGAGTGACCAAAGAGAAAGCATGGCATCCCTGGGTTTTCCAATTTGATCTTCTCCAGGAAAGCCCCCTGTTGAAACAAAAAAAGAAGAGAGCTTATCAAATTAAATAACATAAACCATCAATTCAACCAGCTCGATGATGCATACAAAAGGAATTCTTAGTGATGAACTACTTTTGAAACGCTTCATCAAGATAATTGCTGGAAGTGCCAGTGATGGTATTTCGGTTAAAGGTGTGTGCTAGGATGGTAAAAGCCGAAAAAGGGTATAGGCTGAGATAGTGAGAAAGGCATTTGTCATGTGAGAAAACATAGTGTGTATCCCTGTATAGAGCAGAGAATTCATGTATCGATCCCCAAATAGGTTGGACAAAAATATTCTTGTCTTTGATCAAGTTGAGTAGAAGTAGCACGATGAGCAAGTTATGAAGATAAAATGAACTTACAGTGTCTGCCACAACATGATCAAGTGATGGCACATATCCATGTAATCCATCACTCCCACCATGACCTACAAAAAGAACAAAATAACTCAATCACCAAAATGCAAACCTACCAGCTTTTAGGGCCAGCCAAAAGCCATTCTTGTAGTATTTGGTAAGCTCATCAAATTCCAATCAGCACAATTTCATATTTCATGGAAATAATTAGGACAATGAAATATTGGAGTAACTAATCTTCAAAAGGTATAATTTACCTGGTGGCAAGTCATAGTTGAAGCATAAAGCACATATATCAATGCTTTTACGAAATAGACTAAAACACCAAAACAATGGGTAAATGCTACTGAAACTAAAAATGGTGGTCATGGCTGAACCAACACGCCTTGATTCCTAACATTCATAACATTCATACACGTATTCTTCCCATCCAGTAAACTAACTTTTAAGGCCAAGGTGTACCAAAAACTTCTCTGGTGGACAACAATGTAATCGTTCTAAACAATGGAGAGGGCCCTGTCCCAATGATGATGAACAATGACAAAAAATCAAATCAAATCAAATCTTGAAATCTCAGAAAGGATCACATACATTACACGAATTCGGCTTATTAATGCGATGTAGTAGATATGGAATGAATTTGACATAAAAGGTCACACACACACAAACACACAACAGCATCATTTTCAACTTAATAATACAAGAACAAAATAGATATAATCACATAGTATAGCTACCTATCCAGTCCATTGCATACACGCCAAAGTTGCATGAATTTAGTTGCCTTGCAAAATCAGCATATCGTCCACTGAAAATGAACATCATCAAAAAATTTGTAACGTTATTATTCAACTATATAAGAAAATACACCAATGAGCTTCACATACTAGCAGTCTTACCCCTCATGCTGCAGTGCTGCACTCTCAAATTTTCACAGTTCAGCACTGACACTGTGAGTAATAGTATCCAAAAGAAATTGAGAAAGTCAAACAAAAGTCATCAATTTTACCTGTGTTCATTAAGCCCATGTATAACGACCATGATACCCCTGAAATCACAAACATTCAAGCGTTTATAAGCAGGAGAGCAATTGGAAAAAGGCAAAAGAAAAGAAGGGAATAAATAAATATATGCACCAGATGTGTGGAGCGAAAACCACAATAAGATCAGAAATACAATAGTATGAAAGCCCATTATTCCTTCATTCTAGTTTAAATCATACGTACAAAATTTAATTGGTAGAGTTATTCGTTTCAAAGGAATTCTGAAGTAACATGATTTGACAAATCATGAAACTAAAATCAACTAAAGTCATGGGATCATAATTTCATGATTTTTGAGGTCTCATGTGAAAACCAAGAGATTCAAAAAATAAATAAAGACATAAAACATGAGAGAAATAACTAAAGAAGGATTGTCTTCATCAATTACCTTGAAACAATTTTCTATTCTATGTTAAAGCTTCTATGAATGCCAACTGGTTTATGGTGATTGAGGGCAATTACGAAAGTCACTGGAAATTATGGAAGTGAGAAAGGCAATTGTGGTGGGATCCATTAAGAGCCTTAAGAATATATTAAATCTTCTCCTAGCTTCTCATAAACTTTTTGATATACTTCCTCCTGTTTAATAAAAGCAGCCATAAGTTGAAGAGGTGGGAGCAGAATTTATTCCAGGTTCTATTTGCTAAGTTTCTGACTGCAGCTTCCTCGCAGGATTACAGAAAAGGATAAGGTACATTGAGATAAAAAGGAATCTTATGCATACAGCAAATATAGAGTTCTTCAAACTTTGTTCCAACTCCTTACAATGTTACAAATAAAGTGAAATATGCAACCTAAGAACTATTTTGCTACTTGTAGGCCCATTTAGAAGGAATCACTAGGTCAAGTAGCCTTATAGTTCTCCAAAATCCAATCAAGTAATTCAACCCATCAACGAATGTAATAGCAAGCTTCTCCAAATTGAAGACCAAGAAATTCCAAATCAAGTACAGAGCACAGTGATTAAGAATGAAGACCAAGAAATTCCAATATGCATCTATTTTAATAAGTTTCACATCATCTCTAATTTCACTTATGTTTAATCCCATGCTGAAATTCAAAACAATGCTCCTTCATTATGTCAAAAGCCTATTGCTGCCTTGAAGATAGAGTAAAGATCCGCACATACATAACTACATAATTTAACCGCCCTATTAGTCACTCCAAATAACAAGTAAAATTAAGAGATGGCTTCCTTAGTTTTCGTACTTATTTTGTAATGTGTACGGGTGGCCCCCCCTTGGTCCCTCTTATAAAACTACATATTTCTTATTTTTCAGTTTCATAGGCTTTATCTGGTACCGAAGGCTTATTTGCCTTCTCCAATGGAAAAAAACAAAAAAATCATCAAACCAATCACAGGTGAAATACAAACAATTTAAGTCAGTAATTAAATAATGAAGGCATGGAATATAGAATACGGAATATGGAATATAAATTGAAAATAACTCACTAATCAGTATCAGATGCCCTTGACACAAGGCCATCAATAAGCAGGCACCACTAAACTTTATATCTGCACTTTAACTAAAAAATATAATAATTTAATCATATCAACAGGGTTATTCTAATCGACAAGGCAAGTTTAACAAGAAAAAAATTCATATTAACCCAGAATATCAAATGCTTCCTTTTTCCATTTAATATTTCAACCAGTTGCAACAGACTATTAAAATTCTTACATACTAACCCACAGAATCAGGAAATAAATAAATAAATCAAACATAATTACTTTTTTTTCTCAGAAAAGAAACTTGCAATTCGATTACTAGTATCCAGTGTTCATCAAACTGAAGTCACATTTATTGAGAAAGGAAAAACAAGATGGAACACAAATTTGACGGTTTCAAAAAAAATTTCCTAAGAAACGATTTTCTCTGTTTTCTCAGTAACCAAACAAATCATAAAAGAAGCCGAAAATGATAACTTATCGGAAATTCTCAGTTGTATTCTTAAAAAAAAAAAAAAAAAACCAGATAATTTCTTTTATTTACAACTTTAATTAAAAAAAAAAAAAAAAAAAACCATACTTCAATTCACCGGAGACCGGAAACCAAGAGCGGACAAACAATGCGTTGCGCCTCACTCCGAAGAACAGAGACGTACTCCATTGGCAAGGGCTAGTCCGGTCGTCAGTTTCAGCCACCATCGACAAACCCTCGGCGAGGGCTCGCCGTCTCAGAGTGTCATCCTCCTCTCTCCTGATCGCAAACCTCCGCTTCACCGATGAAGAAGCCGGAGAGGCGGCGGAAGACGGCGGAGAGCAGGAGGAGGAGAGGCGATTGCGGGGGAGGAGGAGGAAGAACCAGAGGAAGATTGATCGGATGAATATGAGAGAACGGCGTAGGGAGTCGTAGGAGAGTACGGAGCGGCGGAGGTCCTTGAACACCGGTATGATGCGACCGCTCGCGCCGGAGGTTAGCTCTTCCATCTGCACCGCCGCCATGGGAGGAGCGCGGAGAGAGATGGAAGAGACAGAAAATGGTGACAGAGATAGCGTATATGGCCTTTGGTTTAAATTTCAAAACATCGTTCCACGAGTATGCTATTTAGGCTTGGTTGGGCATCTTTAAAAATAAAATAAAAAAAATTAAAAGGTTAAAAAATTATTATTTTATTTAAGTCATGTTATTTTATATGAGTGACATTATTTTTTTTATTTTATCATTTTAAACTTAGGCTAAGTTTGGTTAACCTAAAAAAGTACATTTATTTCATCTTTTTATCTTTTTTGGATCACATCAATCAACATTTCCTCTTTACTTTTTTTTTACACATAATACAAAAAAAGTCAAAAAATACACTTATTTAGTCTTCCCAAACTTGGCCTTAATCTATGTCCAATTCATATTTTACAAAAAATTAAAAAGTGCACTTATTTAGAATATTCCAAACAACTTTTTAGTTGCGGCTTTCAAATCATAATTTTACACTTATTTCTCAAAACTCATTCAGGCTCCGTTTAGTAAGGGCTTTTGTAGCTATTTTAGCCATAAAAGATAAAATAAGCTATTTTAGCTACAACAAACAAAATTTCATATCCAACTCATAATCATTACACTTTTCTCTCACAAAAAAAAATACGACCATGCTACATAGCTCGAAACCGCGGCTCGAAATCACGGCTCTACACCAAAACGACGTCGTTTTGGTGTCGAATTTTTATTTTTATTTATTTATTTTTTTCTTTCTTTCTTCCCTGGTTTTGTTACAGAACGAAGAAGAAGAAGAAGAAGAAGAAGAAGAAGAAGAAGAAGAGAAGGGAGGAGGGAGGGGAGAGGAGGGGGCCATAAAAACCGGTTGGAGGAGGAGGGGAGGCTGGGCAGATGATGGTGGTGCTGCGACGTCAGCGGGGCTGGACAGACGACCGGGGCTGGGCGAGGCGACGGTCTGCTGCGACTATCGGCGATGACCTACGGCGACGAACCCTCTCCTCTCTCTTTCTCCCTCTCTCCTCCTCTTCTTCCATTTTCGAGCTCGACCCTTTCGAGCTACGAGACATTTTCGAAAAAAATAATAAAGTCAAAAAATTAAAAAGCTCTTTCCAAACCAAGCTTTTTAGCCCAAGTTAAAATAGTCAAAAAAGTCAAAAAGTCAAAAAGCCAATCCACTTCCCAAATGGAGACTATAATTATTACTTTTCAAAACACATAACCAAACACCCAATTCAAAACTCAAAAATAACTTAACTTTTAGTTTAAATATTTTTTATTTAAAATATTTTATTTTATTTTATCGAAATATTTTTAATATTTTAATTTTCATAAAAACATTTTAATATTTTAATTTTAATACTTTGATATTTTAATTGTAAATATTTTGAATTTCGGAATATTTTTAATATTTTGATTTTCAAAATATTTTTAATATTCTTAATATTTTAATTTTTGAAATATTTTTAATATTTTATTTTTCAGAATATTTTTAATATTTTAATTTTCTTAATATTTTTAATATTTTAATTTTCTAAATAATTTAAAAATATTTTTAATGTTTATACGGGCCTAAAAAATGAATTAACAGAAAAATTAATTAACATAAAATAATTGACATAGAAGTTATTTGAAAAAAAAATTATTCAAAAAAATTACTTAAAAATAGTTAATTGAAAAAACAAATCATTTTTTTTTATTTGAGTATTTTAAAAATAGTTTGGTTATGACTGTTAATCAAAAATACGGATATCGAGTTATGAGTTGTCGAGTTATGAATTGTATATTTGATTATCAATTATAGGTTGAATTAAATTTTGAAAATTATTTTAAAAATTCACCACCAAACAAATTTTTTTATTTTACATATTATATCAAACTTTCAAAACTCAATTTCATATACAATTCAAAACTCAATTCAACACTCTATTTAAAAATTATAACCAAATAAATTTTCTACATTCAAATCATAATTTCACAACTCACAAACTCAAAATACAACTCATACTTTCAAATCATATTTATAAAATTCTACCAAACGTAACCTATGTATATGCTTCTCGTAATTTTTTTTAGAGAGAGAATTGGGAGTTGGCGATCATGCGTATGCGATGATAGTTTTTGTACTTGTGCCAGTTGGTCGTAATTTTGACCTAGTGAATAATCGTCCCTAATCTAGAGATTAGAGCATCTCCAACGGTGCATTTCCTTTTTCATCAAATCTGAGTCAAAAATGACCTATTTCACCAAATCTGATATCACTTGCTCCAACGGTGCATCAAATGTCGTGGGGCGACCGGTGGGTCGACCGGTTGGTCGACCTGTTTGCGTAAAATGCTATTATTTTTGTTTTACCCTTTTGAACGGTTTGAACCCAGCTTTCTGAACCGGGGAAAGGGGGGCGACCGGTTGGTCGACCGGTCAGCCTATTTTTTTTTCTTTTTTCTTTCTTTTTTGTTTCCCTCCATTTCAGTTCCCAATTATTTTTCCTATTTCTTTTTCCCTCTATTACATATATGTCTGGCATATGGATTATGCTCTCATATAAACCTATTATCCATATGCTAGACAAATACGATCATACCTTAAACAAAACAGAGCACAATGAATACCTTGAAATCCATGATATTTACTTCATTTTCATCATCTTCTTCTTCCTCTTCCTCTAATGATGAGTCTGATGATGAATATATTGTCACACTTTTAGGAGCTTATGAGCAGAATAATACTAGTATGCTTCAGATTCTTAAGTCAAGTGATAGGTCAAAGAAGATAGGTGGTTTTGTTATAGGTCATAGATATATACACAGAGATAGAAGGCAGGGTCATGACAGATTGTTTGCAGATTATTTTGCTGCAAGTCCAGTGTATTCACCTACAATATTTCGAAGACGTTTTCGAATGCGATGTCCTTTGTATCTACGAATTTTGAATGCAATCCAAACACACAATTCATATTTTGTTCAAAAACAAGATGCAGCTTATGTACTTGGATTATTTCCCCTACAAAAAATAACTTCAGCGATGAGAATATTGTCATATGGTGTCGCAGCAGATGCAGTTGATGATTACATACGTATTGGGGAAAGCACTACAATTCAAAGTTTGCAACAATTTTGTAATTCAGTGATTGAAATTTTTGGAGAAGAATATCTGAGATCTCCGACACCAACTGACATTGCTAGATTACTTGCTATTGGGGAGGTTCGGGGGTTTCCTGGCATGTTAGGAAGTTTAGATTGCATGCATTGGGAGTGGAAAAATTGTCCAAAGGCATGGCAAGGTCAATATGTAGGCCATCAAAAAAAGCCAACCATTATTCTTGAAGCAGTAGCATCTTATGACTTATGGATTTGGCATGCATTTTTTGGAATGCCTGGCTCACACAATGACTTGAATGTGTTGGACCGATCGCCTTTATTTTCTGATCTTGCGCAAGGTAAAGCTCCCCCTGTCCATTACACGATTAATAGACATAGTTACGATATGGGTTATTACCTTGCTGATGGTATATACCCTCAGTGGGCAACATTGGTTCAAACTATTTCTTCTCCCCAAGGAGCAAAGAGACAACATTTTGCAATGATGCAAGAGTCTGCCAGGAAAGATATAGAGCGGGCATTCGGAGTCCTTCAATCTCAATTCGCAATTATAAGTGGTGCTGTACATTATTGGGATTCAAAAATGATTGCCAACATAATGAAGACGTGCATTATATTACATAATATGATTGTCGAAGATGAGAGGGAGGAGCACCTTGATTTCAATTATGATATTTTATCAACCAACACACCAGTGCAACTTTCCGCTACTCCTACCAATGACTTCCAATCATTTTTGTCTCGTAATTTAGGTATTAGAGATAAGGATGCATATCATGCCCTCCGTAATGATTTAGTAGAACATATGTGGCATCTTCATGGTGAACACTAAATTCACCACATCAATACATGTAATTTTGTTTATAGTTTTGGAATGGAAGGTTCTCTTGTTTGTAATCTTCAATATGAGGCACTATATTAACTAAGTAATTCAGAAGTTATGTGATGATGTGTTGTTGTAATGATTCTATCTTTAATATTCAGAATGGTGAAGTGTTCAGTTCATGACAATTACAAATGATAATATACATAACTTAATCAGTTCCAAATGATAATAATGTCTTCAATTAGTATTCTTAATGTCTTCAATTATACATAACTGATGTTCATGATGTTCATGTGCATAATCATAATGTCTTCAATTACTGATATTGAAGTGCATAATCATAATTTAATAATAATGTCTTCAATTGGTATTCTTAATTCAAGGTCAACTCTTGAATTACTGCATATGAAATTACTATTCATTTCCTCACCACTTACCTCAAGAATGGAGCCTCTATATCAGCTGAAAATTGTATACAAAGGGACAAGAGATTCAAAATATATTCTATTTTATAACAACACAAAATTTAAGAATAAGTCATTTACAAATTTAACATTATTTTGCATTACTCAAGTCAAAATGAAATTATTCATCTGCACAAGCAAACAGACCTAAGGTTGGTGGTTAATTGCCAAAATAGTCTTCACATGATTGATTAATTGCCAAAATAATTGCCAAAATAATTGTTCACAAAATTGCCAAAATAATTGATTAATTGCCAAAATAGTGTTCACATGATTTCAGACAGCAACATGAAGGCAGAGGCTCCAGAAAATAGATGCCCCTTTCTCTGTTCTTGTATCCTTTTTCAATGTTGGCACTTGGCATCATTGTTACATCAGAATGCAACTGTGGAAAAAAGGTTTCTGGTTATGCTTAAATAATTTAAGTTTGGATTACCCTTTATGTTAATACTAACCATGCTGAGCACTACCATGCTGAGCAATAGCTAGCCTAAAACAACATGAACGAGGGGAAAATCTTTAAGTTTTCCTTTCCTCTCTTCTTCTTCTTGTTTTATTTATTTATTTAATTTTTTTGAGTGTGTGTGGTTGGGGGGAAGGGTTGGTCCGAACATAGTTATAAATCTTCAATTATTGAATGCACACACTGCATTCCACCTACAAATCATAAAAGCTTCAATTATTTATCCACACACTGCATACATTTGCCTCAACTACCATTCATTTGACATATATCACCTACCATTTATTGCATGCATTCCATCTACCATGCCTCATTTGAACCAACTACCATTCCTCACCACCTACCTGAAGCATGGAGCCTCTATATCAGCTCAAAATTGTATACAAACCTGCCATAAAAAAATTAACAACTTTCACTGAATACCTCTGCCCACAGATTGCTTGTCTCCCCACAGATTGCCTCTAAGAACACATTCACTGTATTCCCTCCACCACTACCCTCAAATTCAGCTTAACCAAAATCTAATCCCAACCTCTGCATATTGAGTGTAGTGTAAGTGTGAATCCCAAACCCTGCATATTCAGGAGCAAGAAGGCAACATCCAAGAGGTACAAGAAGGCAGCATCCAAGAGGTGGTATTCTGTTAGGTGAATGGCACGGGTCAACTGGTTGGTCAACCGGCCCTGTGTTTTTTTATTTTTATTTTTTGCCTTTCAGGGTGTATGCTGTATTTTTCAAGTGTGTATGCTGTATTTTTTCAATTTTATGTTTTATTTGTTCAACTTTAACTTTGTGAAGAGCATGAAATTTATGTTTTAATCCAATTTTATGTTCAATATTTTAGAAATTATCATGTTCAAGATTTTAAAAATAAACTTGTTAAAAATTTACTTCTGATGTACTGCCATATGATCATTTTTAGGATCATTCATACAGAATAGAGAATATGTTCACTACCATTCATTGAATATGAAAATGAACTCCCTATTGATTTTAAGGCAACACAGACCTGTAATACAACAAATGAATTTTGAATTTTGAATTTTGAGGGTATGAATTTTGATTTTAAGGCAACATAGAGACTGTATCATATGAATTTTGAACTCCCTATTGACTTTCATAGCATATTAAGGCAACACATTCATATAGAACTGTAATTCATACAGCATATTCAGTAATGATTTTTAGGGTACATCAAACATGTAATATGAAAATAACATATAATTAGTATGCATACTGAAATATGGTAATGTTTTCCCATATTAATATGCATTGTAATATGAAAACTATGTTCATGTGAATTCTAAGTAAATGTTTTCAGCTTTCATATGTAACACATATTCATTAAAATTCAACAGATACTGACATCATGCCTAGAACTAAAAGAGCGAGAGCACAAGTTGGTAAAAGTTCCAACCCTCAACGACGCGAACAACAACAACCTCAAAATCAGTCATATTCTACTGATGATTTTCTCACTAAAAGTCATGCACTAGCCTTTCTAAACTTCTCTAGCCGACCAATTGTAACAGGGAGGAGGGTAAATCTTCCATCTCAATATGATGCACTATTAATTAGTAAACTTGAAGCAATGAGATGGCTAAACTTAATTAATGTACCTCAAAAGGTATATCCACGGCTGGTAGCTCTATTTCATGTTCACCTAAGAGCTACTCAGGAACAAGATGGAAATTTTAATCTTTTGTCATATGTGAAAGGAAAGGGTATACAGTTTGGTATTCCTACTTTGGCAAGCATTATTGGAGTTGAGTTAGGTGATGAAAATATTCATTTTTAGACTGAGGCTGAGTTAGCTAATATTGTTGGTAATGCTACTGATGTGTATACTACTATTTGTCAGAACAGATTTACTGGGACTAGTTTACAAGCAAGACATTTAAAACCTTATCTTCGGATTCTCCACCGGTGGATTGTAGAAAATGTCACTCCAAAAAAAGGACATCATGATGTGGTCCCATATTTTAATGCCTATTTGTTATACTGTTTTGAAGTTGGTTAGAAGTTAGATTTGTGTTACATAATTATGAAAGAAATGGTACTGGCAAATCAAGGTCAATTCACGGGTCGGTCATTATTGTTTGGGGCACTGTTAACAAAAATTTTCAAACATTTTAAGGTTCGCCTTGTAGATGAAATGGAGATGAAACTTTCCTCACCCATTAATCAGTATACAGTCACCTGTGCTGGTGCAGCCTCCAATTTAAGGGAAAGTGTTAATGCTCCAGAAGATTCAGAAGATGAAGTCCCAGCAGATGATGCTCCAGAAGATCCTCTGGCCAATGTGATGCCATCAACTGAACAACCTCAATATTGGACTGAGTTTTTAGCCATGGAAGAACAACGGTATAATCAACGCGTTCAATGGGAACATCAAATGGCTAATCAGGTCAATTCGTTGGGTACTCAGTTTGATACATTTGCCACTGCAGAGAACTCATTAATTCAACAATTTGGTGATTTTCGTGTGGACATTGAGCATCGCGTAAATGACATATACCATCACTACTACCCTTCTCTACCACCACCACAAGATAATAACTGTTGATGTGTTTCACATTATGTATTTGTATTGTTTTGTATTTTGTTATTTTAACAACCTTTTGTTGGGTCAATTTGTTAAAGAGGACGACATTAATTAAAACCTATTCAGTTATGACCATTGGCCTATGCAGTTATTATCACTTTATATTGTAGTTTTTCATTTTAATGCCTAGTTGACAAAGGACATGATTATGTACATCCTGAAAATACTACAAAAAGGTCATTATCCAGTTATGATTCCTCTGGTACAAATCATGTTATAGTAGTTAATGACTTCACTTTAAATATCATTTTAAAGAAGACGAGGTTAATTAAAAAAAAAAACACATTGAACTACAGGCCAAAGATCTCCCTATGCAAAAAACATGGCAACAATTAGATATTGAACTTGAAATATGGCAAAAATACGTATCGGTATTAGTTGTTCGAAATAAAATCTGTCGTTGAAGATCTTCGCAGTATGCCCTTTGCATAGGATTTAAAATTGTCATGTCCATTGACATAATTTTATGATCTTCATTTTGTTGTTCTCTTTCATTCATCATAGATAGGAGTTTTAGTTGTTCCTCCCTATCTTCGGCCCTTCTTCGACGATCTGTAGCCTTCTGCTCACGGTCTATCGCCTTTTGTTCATCTCGCTCAATAGTTCTAGCGGAGATAATTGATAACACTTCAAAAATTTTGGATTGGTTGGCAGCCATTTCATCAAATCTACTATCGTGCGTTGTTTGATTCTTCAACTTTTGTTTCGCTGCCTTAGTACCAATTAGTCATGTTGATGTATTAGATGGTTGTTCGTGCACCGCATTATTCTGGTTGGATTGAGAAGCCTCATATTCAGTTGGTGAATGTGAACATGGATCAACAGGTTGTGTGCTTCTTTTTGATCGAAATTCATCCCATTTACAACTTTGGCACAAAATCTCCCAACATGTATCAAAAGTGAAGTGTTTTTTCTGTATTGTATGATACATCCTCTTTGCTTCAGTGACCTACAAAAAAAAAATTACAAAGATTTCAATAACAAGTATACATTTAAAAAAGAAAATTGATATTTAATAACATAAATACATTTACCATATCTGCCTCAGTTGTTCCACTTTGTTGCCTCAGTTGAATTTGTTCAAGAAAACCACAGAATTTATTAATTGCCTTTTGCATGGCAGACGAATGGTGAGTCAAAGAAATACGATTTCGATTTGATTCACTGCTGAATTGTGAATTAAAATAAACAAGTACTCGTTCCCAAAATATAGCCATAGTCTGACTATTACCAGTGATGGGATCTTGAGAGACTGCTAACCAAGATCTACATAAAGTTTCATCTTCTATAATTGTGAATGCTTTACCACGAGAAACACGAGAAGTTTCTGAAATGAAATGATTATCACTGTTCTGCGTGTTCTGCTCTCGTGAAGATTCCGACATTAAATTAATATGAGTGTTGTGCTCAAACATTTGTGATTTCTCAAACATTTCGAAATCTTCCATAGTTTGGAAAAAAGACAATACACTTACTAAAAAATATTGTAATGATATAAAGCTCAAACTCAGAATCAGATAATATTAATTAAAATTTCAAGGAAAACAAATATGTAATGACACAAAAGAAAAGAAATTCACAGCATATAAATGCTATTCTCAAAATGAAATACTCTGTCAATTTAAGATATAGAAATCATATCTAATTTCTAGAGCACATCATCCACGGTAAATTTTCAAAATACTCTGTCCATCCAACGGTAAATAAGAGTAGATTTTCAAAATACTCTGTCCATCTAACGGTAAATAAGAGTAGATTTTCAAAATACTATGTCCATCCAACGACAAATTATTATAATGGCTAATTCTCAAATATGTAGGGAATTTAAATTTATATCACCCTGCAAATTATTCATAATCCACAAAATATTTTTTAGTCCAAATAAACCAACTCAAACAAGTTAAACCAACCAGGATCAACCTGTTATTGCACTGTAGCCGAAATTCCCAAACCCGTCGACTGGTTGGTCAACCGGCCGGTCAACCGGCTGGTTGACCGGTTGCCCCCAACGGTCACAGTTCAATCCAACCCAGTTCAAACCAACCATCTAAGGGTTCAAACCAACCACTCACTGATATGGTACACCGGGCGACCGGTTGGTCAACCGGCCGGGCAACCGGCTGGTTGATCGGTTTATGCATCCAACGGTCACAAACAGTGTTTTGATGAAATCTACTTTCTGTCCTCAGTTTGATAAATTGTTTGGTGAAATCTCATTTTGATATCGATTTGGTGCAACCGTTGGAGCACCAAATAGTAACTTTTTCATCAAATTTTAAATTTGATGTCAACTTTGATGAACCGTTGGAGATGGTCTTAGGGCACTCTCATTTAGGTTTAATAAATATTATTATTATAATTTAATTATACATATTTTAGGGGTTATTTAGGGTGTCCTAAATAAGTGCACTTTTTGACTTTTTAGACAAAAAAGTTGAGAAAAAAAATAAGAATGTTTGGGTTAATTTTTTCACTTTTTATAAAAAAAATATGTATTAAAAAATTATATAAAGAAATGTGTAGGAGAAGATTGTGTAGGAGGCCGTACGGTGCTGGCAGTGGGTTGTAGAGTAGATGAAAAATTATTGTCTCCTTTTCGGGCTTTGCTTGTATGGTGTTGTTTGGCGTGATTAGGGACCCACCACGTGTTTCATTTTTCTAATCAGAACTGTTCAATGTGTAGAAATCGTCAAGTACTATTATGTTTGTAAAAAATCACGTTGATTGAATATTGATAACTATCTGATCGTGTTAGTTTTTTTTGTTAACTGTTAACTATAATACCATCCATTTTTATACAACACTGATTTGATCATGTAGTTAACGATATTCGATAAACGTGTTTTTTTTACAAGCATATAGTACTAGATGAGTTCTACATATTGAACGGTTCAGATTATCAAAACAGGACCCATGATGGGCCTATACGGCCGAACTTTATCATCCAATTTAGTTTAGGACACATATGGAAATCTTTTTTCCCTTCCTTCACTAAGTAGTTCATCATGTCAGTGGCTGAAAAGTTGATTTGAATGAATATTTGTATATTATTTTTTTAATATTTTTTTAGTGATTAGTGATAATTTTTTAACTTTTTAAATAATTTTTTGACTTTTTGTCTTTTTGGAAGGTTACCAAACCAAGTATTAGTTATACATTATTTTGAATATGTTATTGTGTTGGTTATCACTCAATATTGTGATATTAAAGGGTTATTTGAGATGATCTAAATAAGTGTATTTTTTAATTTTTTGTGAAATATGGATTAGGTATGGGTTGTGTTTGAAGTGGTGTGGTAAAAAAGTGATGTGACTCAAATAAGTTGATGTGACTTAAATAGGATAGTGACATTTTGATTTTTTTAGAGTGTCCCAAACAATGCCTAATTATGATATTATTTCACATATAATACGGTGCTAATTATAATTTATTATAATTTTAGTGTGATCTACAATCTATTTGATTATATTTATGTGTGTTTGAGTATAATTCATTTTTTTTTTACCTATAACTCCTACAACTTTAAGTTATGACATTTGTGTAATTAATTTCACAAAACATATATAGAATTGTTTTAAATTTTATTATTTAATAAATCTTAAAGACATGAGAAAATTACACTGCATTATTACAAAAAATTAAAAATTAATAAAAATTTTTTATGAGTTTAATTGTTAAAATTGCTAAAGATTTACCACTGATTTGATTTTTTGTTTCCCTTTCTGAAAAGGTATACTAGATTGTGATTTTTCCTAAAGTTATTCATTGACAATTTTTATTTAAAAAAAAAGAAATCATTTATAACATACTTAGAGCATCTGCATCAGCTTCAATAAATTTTGAATCAAATTATAACCCAAAATTCACTTTTTTATTTTAGCTAGCCTTTTTTTTATATACACACTCTATCAAACTCTCTATTTTAAAATTGTATGTTATTAAAATATTATTTTTTTATTCTTTTATCTTTTTCAATTTAAATATATTTTTTTCCAACTATCATATTTTTAAAACGGCTATATTCTAACGATCATATTCCAATGGCTATATTCTAACGGTCATATTTCAGTGGCTATATTTTAATGGTCATATTCCAACGGTCATAGTCTTTCAATATAAATAAAATCAATTGCTATCTAATTTCATTCACATCAATCTAATTTTGCTATTTCATTTTGTATTTATTTTCTCTATATGGATCTTCATTCTCTAGACGATATGATTCTTTATGACTCTGACTCCGACGATGAGTTAGAGACAATTGGAATAGCTGCTATGGAAGGGCAACGACTAGTAGCCAATAGTTCATCAAGATCACGCCACAATTCTAATTGACGCCGCAAATTCATTTGGCGCAATTCCTTGCAAGGTCACCAAAGACTCTTTCTAGATTGTTTTGCTGATCCACCAATATATCCTTCCAATATATTTCGAAGGAGGTTTCGAATGAAACATTCTCTTTTTTTCCGTATTCAATCTACGGTAGAAGCTCATGAATCATATTTTGTCCAGAAAAGAAATGGTGCTGCAGTGCTCGGTTTATCTTTCCTTCAGAAGATGACTACAGCACTTAGAATGCTCGCTTATGGAGTAGCAACTGATTTTATGGATGAATACTTGAGGATTGGAGAAAGTACCGTAATGAAAAGTCTATATTATTTTGCCAAAGCGGTGGTTGAAATTTATTCCGATCAGTATTTGAGGTCATCAAACAACAATGACATTGCTAGACTACTAACAGTGGGCAAAAGTCATGGCTTTCCTAGAATGTTGGGAAGCATTGATTGTATGCACTGGACATGGAAGAATTGCCCGACTGTATGGAAAGGTATGTATATTGGTCACACCCATGAACCAACAATTATTTTGGAAGCAGTTGCATCATATGATCTTTGGATATGACATGCATTTTTTGGGTTACCCGGGTCTCATAATGATATCAATGTTATAGAAAGGTCTGCTGTATTTACTGAGCTTGCTCAAGGGCGTGCTCCTCCAGTCAATTACACCATCAACGGTAATGAGTATACAATGGGATATTATCTTGCTGCTGATATATATCCACCATGGCCAACATTTGTGAAAACAATTCCATGTCTACAAGAAAACAAGAAAAAACATTTTGCTATGGCCCAAAAAGCGTATAGGTAGGATGTAGGGCGTGCATTTAGGGTGCTTTAAGCACATTTTGCAATTGTGCATGGCCCTGCACGATCTTGGAATCTTGAGTCAATTAAAGTTGTTATGAAGGCTTGTTTAATATTGCACAATATGATCATTGAGGATGAGCGAGATGACAATGAAGCACAAGACATTGATTTTGAACAAATCGACGAAACCCCTTTAGCACAAGTGTCACATGAGCGTACAACCGAGCTTATAGAATTCATTCAACAAAATCATCGCATCAAAAACAGAGCAATTCATTCTCAACTCCAATCAGATTTTGTTGAGCACTTAGGGCAACTATATAGTCAGTCGTAGAACATTGTGTCATGTTTTAATTATTTTTAGACAAATAAATGTATTATGTTTTAATTATTTGTTTTAGTAATGAAAAATATAAAAACAAAAACTATGGTGTGAAAAGAACATGTGAAGGAAATAAAGAAAGGAACAAAATTATCTTTATTTTCCATTTTTGATTGTTTTTATTATGTTTTGATTTATTTTGAAACATGGATTATAATTGAATTGAGAAGGTTTAATTCAATCATTATAATCCTTAAATTATCCTTGTGTTTAACCATATTTTTGGAGTGCAAAATGATGTTAAAATAGGTATAAAATAAGGCCCAAGACAGCAACAGATCAACGACAGAGCAACAGTAACACAGGAAGTGAATCGGTCGACCGGTGGGACACCCGGTGGGACAACCAGCCATGGTTTTCCTCCAGTTTAGTTTTGCTTCCCACAACATACATACAAGGAAGCCATTTGGGATTCAATCATCCAAACACGAAGTCATCAAAACATCAAAACATAAACATAAACATTCCAAAAACATAAACAAGGAAGCTATTTGGGATTCAATCATCCAAACATAAAACATTCCAAAAACATCAAAACATAAACATTCCAAAAGCATTCCAAAAACATCCAAATACAAAAGCATGTCAAACATGTCAAATATTACAATCATCCAAATAGAAATCATCCAATTACTCCACATCATTAATTTTTTTCTTACTCTCAATGATTTCTAGTTGGCGTAGACGACAATATTCTTGCTGCATTGGGGACATCTCACTTGTATCAATCATCATGATTCTCTCTTCCTTTTTCAATTGTTCAGTTCGAGCCCTTAAAACATGAATATGATAAGATTTTTGAAGAAGTTCAAGTTTCTTCTCAGTTCCTTTTTTTCTTTCTTCTTTCACCTCATTCAGTAAATCCACAATTGGAGAACAACTATCATGGTTCTTTACTTTTTTCAACCGCTCCTTTTCTGCCTTTCTACCCATAGGTCTTTCCAATGGTGAGATATCATCTTCTGCTAGGTTGATTGGGTCTGGTGTTGAAGGTGAAGATGTTGGGTCATTCTAATCCTTTTCGATTTTTTCTTTTGACATTGCTCAAACCATTTTGGTTGATGCCTCAACACATTCCCACAATGTTCGAATTGAAATGAGGTTTTATTAACCTCTTGGTACATGATTTTTTCCTTGCCAATCTAAAATAAAAAATTGAAAACCAATAATTAGCTTTTTAACATAAAATGAAAATGCTAGGAGAAGTATAAAGATCAATCTAATTAATACCTTGTCTTGCTCGTTAACGCCACTTTGATGCAATGATTCAATTTGGGCAAAGTAACCACAAAACTTATTAGTGCCAAGTTGAATAGTTGACCACCGATTCATCAAAGAATTATCATTACGTTCACTAATAAATGTCTTATGCTCGTGAAAGTACTCCCTAACTCTCCTCTAAAAGGTCTTGTTTTTTTGCTTATTTTCATGCACTACATCCAAGCTAGTATTCAGCTAAGCCGATACAACCATATTATCTTCTTTTATGGAAAAGTTGCCTCAACGTGATTTCTTAGCAGTGGATTCCAATTGAGTAGAGAATGGAGACTCTTGGGCAACCACTTGACCAACTTGACTCATATACTGAGACTCCATGAATTGGCTATCAATGTTAGATCCGTCTTGTAAAAGATTGGCAAAAAATGGGTCTCCATTTGACTCCATCCCTACAAGAGTTGTGAGTGCACTAATTGTTTAACAAAATAACCACATGTGTTTATTTATTTAATAGAGATGACAAATATACAAAATTCCAAAATTATCATCCTTAACTATTCCAATCCTAATGTGCAATAGGAATCAATTAAGGGAAAATTACAATTTAGTGTAGGGGGAGAAAAAAAAATACAAAAAAGAGGATGCAACTTAGAAATCAAAGGGGTGCAACTCTGAGTTACACCCTTTCCATGTATTCAAAACTGTTGCTCATATGAAGGTTAAGAATTCTCCCTGTTGTTCTATTTTTGAGCTAATTCTTTTTTCTTTTTCTTTTTTTCAATAGAGATCCAAGTTGAAAAAATGAGAACAAAAATGGTTTTGGTGTTCTGTAAAGCTATGTTCAAAATCAACATTCTTGATTTACTAATGAATCAATCAGTTGGCATAGCATCTTGGACAAACTAGTGAGGCATTTTATCAAAGAGTTATAATGCAAGAACATATGTGTGTATAATAACAAAAGTGAATCTAGTTCAGAGTTACACCCTTTCCATGTATTCAAAACTGTTGCTCATATGAAGGTTAAGAATTCTCCCTGTTGTTCTATTTTTGAGCTAATTCTTTTTTCTTTTTCTTTTTTTCAATAGAGATCCAAGTTGAAAAAATGAGAACAAAAATGGTTTTGGTGTTCTGTAAAGCTATGCTCAAAATCAACATTCTTGATTTACTAATGAATCAATCAGTTGGCATAGCATCTTGGACAAACTAGTGAGGCATTTTATCAAATAGTTATAATGCAAGAACATATATGTGTATAATAACAAAAGTGAATCTAGTTCATCAATTGATACATGATTTTACAATACAAGAACATATATGTGTATAACAACAAAATCTAGTTCATCAACTGATACGTGATTTACAGAGAATGAAAGAGAGAGAGAACCTGATGAACTTCCAAGATGGTGAGAATGAAATTTGTGATGGCTCTGGTAGGTGTTGATAGTAATGGTGGTATGATAGATAGTGTTCTTGTTGGCGGGAGAAAGAAGCGCGGGAAAGAAAATATAATAAAAAATTGATTAACCTATGAACAGTAGCTCGCTTCATCAGTTAAGGCACTGTAGCGTTGGCAAAATGGATGAACGAGATACCGAGTCTGATGGAGCACATATTCTTCACTTCTGCTGTCTACAATAGCTTCAAAGCTATTGTAGCGTTGCTGATGCTGATGCTCTTACAACTTTGAATTGGGTTAAATGTTTTTTTTAGCAAAAAAAAAAAAGAAAAAGAAGAAGAGAATTGGGTTAAATTTTGACTCTATCCAAACCGCTCGAAAGATTACTCTTTGGAGACTATTCGAAACAGCCCCTAACAAAATAAGAAAACAATTAGGTTATAAATTTTTAAATTTTCGAAATTTATTTAAGATTATTAATGTACAATCTATAGTATTTTTATAATACACTAATTAATCTCAACCACGTACATTCTTTTTAAAGTCTTGTTTGGAAAATTAGTTATTTTAGTAAGTTATTTTAATTTTTAATTATTTTAGTCGTCGTCTAGGAAGAGTTAAAGTCTCTATTTGGGAAGAAGGGTTGGGTTGGGTTTAGGGCTATTTTAGCCACAAAAAGACAAAATAGGTTTTTTAGCTTAATAAGACAAAACATCACATCCAATCCATAATCATTACATTTTTTCTTTTATAAAAAGTCAAAAAAACCAAAATGTCATTCCCAAATGAGACTTTTTAATCATAGGCTAAAATAACTAACAAGTTAAAAAACCAACCCACTTCCCAAACGAGTAGAAATGGCAATTTAAACCTGGCCCAACGGGGACCCGACCCCCCGTCCCTGATTACAATGGTTTTTTCTTGAAAAATACTCCCGACAGGTTGGGGATAGTATTTGAAAATGCATCCCCGATTAGTTTCGGGCCATGGACGGGGATAGCTTTCACAGCCTCAAACCCGACCCATCCCCAGCCTCATCCCCGTCCTATTTTTCCCGAAGTAAAATTACCTTTATACCCTTTTATCATTCATATATATATGTATATATATATATACCCCCATCTCTCTCTCTCTCTTACGTAGATTTGAACCACTCTCTCTCTCTCAAACCTCTATCTCTCTCTCTCTTAGACCTCTAAAACCCCTGTCTCTGTCTCATTCGAAACCCTAACCTCAAACCAACATCGATTGAAGCAGATGAGCAAACCATAGAGATGGAGTCCCACAACCCAACCAACTAGGATGCCACCAGAGACGACGTCTCATCCCCTCCTCCATTCGATGACAAGAGTCGATTGCAGCTCCTCTCCCCTCAATCTCTCACTCGCTGCTCCACCACCGCCTCCACCATTCGACGACGACATTCGATCGCAACTCATCTCCTCTCCCTCTCTTACCGTTGCTCCACCACCACCTTTGCCATTCTATTATGGCCTCACCATCGCAGATCTATCTCTCTCTTTCTCTTTCTCACAATTTCTACTCTCTCTCTTTATTTTTTAAATATGTTATGTTGTTGTCGTTGAATATTAAATCTGTTGTTGTTGTTGAATATCAGATCTGGAACTTTTTTAAAATGGCAGATTTGAAGCATTTTTTAAATATCAAATCAGATTTGGAGCTTTTGTTGTTGTTGAATATTAAATCTATTGTTGTTGAATATCAAATCTGTTGTTTTTGAGTATTAAATCTATTGTTATTGAATATCAAATCTATTGTTGTTGTTGAATATCAGATATGTTGTTGTTGTTTAGTTTAGTTTATTTTTTGGCTAGGGAATTTTTGAGATCGGGGAAACCCGATCCCCGTTAGGGGTTGGGGACGAGGGATTTTCACTGTCGGGGACGGAGAGTGTGATCCCTAGCCCTGCCTCGGCCCGTTGCCATTCCTACAAACGAGTCCAATAGCCTGGCTTTTCGGCTATTTTAGCCTCGTTTGATTT